AATTGATGTGATATATACTCCTTACCCAAAGACTAGGCGTGCGCTCCAACTCAACTGGATATGGCCGGGTGTTCCACTAACAAGGCGACACCTGTAAACCGGCCTAAGAACCGCTCCGCCACTAACCCGAGTTACACAGATGCACCCAAACTGGCGTACTCCTACCAACATGTAACAAGTTCCCCTTAGGGGGGTTTTTATCTGAACTCGGAAAGTGGGAAAAGCTTAGTGACAGTTGTTATGTGGGTACATCCATTAGCACCCATAAAGTAATGGCTCCAAGCTTCCCAGCCACACCTAAGATTAATGAGGGGGTGAGGCCGCACTGGTGCGTATTAGATAGCAGGGTCTCTCAACTGCAGCTCAAACTTACCCGTAAGATAATCTTATAAACGTTGCGTTTCGTGCACAATATGCACCACTGTACTGGTATCAACATGGAGTTTGGTGAAAGAAGTGTAGTTGGATGATCTGAGCCAACGGAATTCCATCAACAACTAAATCAGTGCTTCCACTAAACCAACCTAAATGGAAATAATTGCTCGTCATCCGAGTTTCATGCACGGCGATGAAGACAAGATTCTTTGGGCTATGTCAAATTATGTCAATAAGGTGTTAGTGACCTTACATTTAAGTACTTCTCTCCGGAACGGATCTTGATGGTCCCTGCCTTCCCAGACATTATGTGGATCAAACACACGCTAACAAATGGAACAATGGAACAATGGTTTATTACGGGTAAAAAAGCTTTGCTTAACAAGTCCCGTAGGATGGAAATTATTGTGAAAATCAATTGCATTATAAAGTGAAAAGCGTTGTGGTGGACTCACCATAGACTTATGCGGAATAGCGGAGATATTCGCGTATTAAACATATAAATCTATAAATCCATTGGTTAGGCGTTTGGCAAGACATCGTTTGATTGCGTTTTGTAGCCCCTGGCTAACAAGTCATAAAATGAAATGTAAGTGAGACAATGCATCGTCAAATGGAAAGCTACAGGACTACTGTAACTAGGGTCGTCAAAGTTCACAGTGCCGCTGCATATTGGGATTATAGCTGATGAGAAATAAGGTATCACAGCCAAGAGCAGTGGCTTTGCATTCATGACAGTCCGTTCTTATACAGCGTTAGAGTTGCTTAGATCCAAAGGTTACACAGATCAGTAAGTTGCTTGCGTTGTGCCCAAGGATAATGAAAGTGATGCTTCAAACCAGGCGGATGACATTTCGAATACTGAAAATATAGTAATTGTTCCGTAATAGACTTCCATTTAGGCTTCCGTTCAAGCTGACAGGCGATACACCTACGTGGTACAAAGCTTTATCTTAGCAGGTGAGCAAAATCGGGAGTGCATTTGAACCAGTTACTGATAGTGCGCGTGAAAAATACAAGGAGCTGCATGTAAACATGTAGTCAAACCCCATGCAGTGTGTAGAGTGGGTTGGCAAGAGTTTAACTATGATGCAGTTGAATTAAACTCCAACCCATTTACTGCTAGCAGCAGCGGACCGTCCAAAGTTCATCAGCATGTCTGATCCGAGCTATATCTTGTTTGACTTACTGCTGATATTAGAAGACATTCCAGCTTGTGTGATAATGCTCAGTGCCGGTTCTGTCACACGGCAAAATACTTGGAATATCCTTTACTTACGCGGGATTCTACAGGCTAAGGAATCAAGGATGACGATTTAGTGGCCGATGAGGGTTATCAGCTAGTCCCAGTAGGATGCAACGGCTGCCTTGCGCCTTTAGTGATGGCTGGTAACGTGGTATTTCTCTGATTAACCAACTCAAAACATCACTAATGCACTTATTACTTCTAACGAATCAGTGATTGTCTATTTTCCAAAAATACCGCTCTAGCAAGAAATGGCGACGACTTCTAGTACGAGCCATTGGATATTCCAAAGACATGGATCACCAACGCATTCCGGTGCAGTTTGCGACTAAGATACGACAATAGCTGTCTCGTGATAGCTTGCATCTCTCTCGACTGTATACCTCAGAGATGGACTCCCACCTGAAGTCTGCCTTGAGAAAATCCTAGAACCCAGATATAATCACCTTCTTATCTTAACTAACTTGAACGTACACTATGAGCTCCTCGGCAACACCCAATAGAAAACCCAATCAAAATGCAAGGGCCCGTTACAAGTTCTACCTTCTACAATCGGGTCATCTCACCCACTTGGTACTTGGCTAGAAACTAACCGTCTGTGACGAGGCTTGTGCTTACAAATGAGGAGCGCATGGTCGATGAGCCCTTGAATGAGACCCACCTAGAAGTTAGCGGTCAGGTAACCAGAGTCTACAATTGTTGTGTTACCCCGGAGGAACACAGTGAATCAAGGAACGCGGCCACACAATACAGTATCACGGCATGTCTGGATAAGTGCTTGGGCTTTCTTGGTAGACACTGCCTTGAAAGTGTTTGGATAAATCTTGTTTGGAGCTTCGACAATTTGAGCACAACTGCTTCAGAAATCGTTTCCATGCCTCACCAAGACCCCATCGTTGTTCAAGGGTAGGATTCGAAAACGCAATACAGTAAGAGACGCAGCGCAGCCTGCCTACAGAGCTAATTCTGGTCCCGAAAGCTTTAGCACCTAGGTGTTCCAGCGTGGCCACTATGCTGTGTTCGATCACGCGGAGGATTCAGCTCACCCGTATACATAGTCGGCAGATTTTTCAAAGAGAAAAAGTTGCTATTCGGTTACATCGACGGTATTCACAACATGAGTCGCGGTATTAAGCCGTAGCAGAATATTCGAACTTGTACAGAGCACTTAAGAAACGTTCAGTGTTTTAAGGTAAATAAGCATAGTCTTCCAACTTGCTGTCAGCCAGTGGTAAGCATTCGCATCTATGACTCCGAGTCAAGTATTTAATCACGTCACGTTTAATCCTACAGTTGTTTCGAGGAAACTGCTTACTTTTCGAATCTGCACTTCTCCGGTAATCGAAAACAACGACAACTAGACGGCTCTAGAAGTAGCAGCAATGGAGCTAGCTGAGCTTGGATGAACTACTGGCGCCTGTACTGTGTCACCATAGTATAACAACCGTTTTCAAAAAACGTAGGCGTGCAGAAATCATAAACTGTCATCCAGTGGCCCTCCCCCCGGTGCCCGCAAAAGTGGTGGAGGTCATGGTTGCTGACGCTAGAGCCGTAATACTGAAAGAACACGGGTTTCGGGAACACCGACAACCCTCCACAAACCTACTGACCACACTCGGTTATTGAGCGGAAAAGATGACAGGGACAGAGATCTGTGCAATTTATGTGGATGGTTCCACAGTCTGCGACAACCTGGATCACCGCATCCTCCGTCATGAGATGCAAAGTCATTAAACCAGGGATCCAGCCCTTGGGTGGACTAAGAATTTACTGCAGCAGCGTTACGTTGCAAGTCCAACAACGGAGTAGTTGGCTCTATCCGATTCAGTTAGCACGCGGATTTCGACAACGGCCAGTGTAGAGGCCGCGCGTATATCCCACGTTCATTAGTGACTTCGCGCGTGTGCCCACTCCAAATATTTTACACTTATTGATTGCGTTGAGATGAAAGACAGTTGACTACCAGATAGATCATGAACCGCTTCAGCCAAGCCTAGAGAGAACTTTTGAACAGTTATTATGAAATTGGCCCTCCTTCAAATCATCCACATGCAAGTTTTTCCAGTTCCGTCATACGTTGAGCATCACACATTTGTTTGGAAATCACATCTTACGGAACGTCTCCCAACGATGCGACCTTGGGATTATATCTTGGGATGACCTCAGCCACCGGAAACACAGAGGTGACAAAGACCTGGAACCAGCATTTCGAATTTCTGCAAAAGGCGCCAAATCGGTTTGATCCATGTATTCGCAATTACGTAAAGACTGTTGTGGAACACGGCGTCTGTGACTAATAGTTTGAGGCAGGAGGAAGACTTCAGTTTGCTTAAAACACCACAAATAAAGCGACCGCAACAGTTGAGGAACTTCTCCAGCTTCCACATTAGCTAATGCAAAGGACTGTAACGTTGCACAGTGGTCAATATTCGCGCCCAGAGAGTAATAGAAGAACGATACACTAGCTGTTGAGGAAGAGCAACCACGTTCGCCGCTATGTTCAGCAATGTAATCACGGTAGGAACTTGAGGGGCTACAGGCGAAGGTTGGTCGCGCAAACTAGCCGGCTTGAATTCCCCTATGGTTCGTGTCCAAAGTTGATCTCAATTTTTCGAACACCTTTCATTCTAAGATTATCATCCTGGACGCCTCACAAGCTTTGTGAAACAGTTGTCTTTTTTCCGTATTAAACCCCTGTTCCGCTTCTACACCAACCTCTCGCATTTAATTGGTAACTTTCTGACCATATTAATCTCGCTTAGCTTTAGCGGTCCTCCAATTTTCTATGCACTCTATGCTTCAGACGGATATTGGGTGTTTCCGGTCCGAAAATCTTTCACTCCACGACTGGTTTTGAAATTGATGGAGCTCATCAGACAGAGATAGCTGACACAGGAACCTGGCACTTTTGAGACGATAGCCGAAACTCCTACCCCTAAGCTACCGAGTTAACGCGTGCAACGCTTGTCACGGTAGTTAATGACAGAAGAGGTGCGGTAGTGGGTGTATTGTTCCTTTGGCGTGCGGCAACCGATTTCTATTTGCTTCATTGTCTGTCCGTGTGATGGAATTGATCACGATTCACCTGATTGCGAACCGCGGTCCACGAGATTGCGCGTCGCAATCAATTCATACAACGTACACTTTAAAATAGCCCTGCAATCACTCTATTTTGTATTCAGTATCAGATTTCCACCATCGTTTATCATAGGCATTGTGTTGACCGACCACCACCACAGATAGTCACTCTGATCAAGGTTATTTTTACATGAACTCAGTTGAATTGTCTGGTACTAAAAGATGCATTACGTAGGGCATGAGTTTGGTTAGGGCTATTCGATATGGGTGGGGGAAGTGTATTTGCTGAGGTCGAACTTACCAGAAACTGTATCCTGTTTTCGCGATCACAGTGTTCTTGAGACTTCTTGCCTCTGGTACCATTACGGCCCTTTTTCGAATAATCCACGAAAGGATAATTATCGTAATCATCTTCACCCGATGAACAAAGGCGATATTCCTTTGAAGGCTGAGATTTGACATCCGTGTTTGTGTGTGCAACGGAACTGGCAGCTCGATGGTAACGCCTCGGGAGCTTGTGTGAGTAGCTTGTGCTCATCTTTGGACTGGTGGGCCCATCCATCTTTTCGTAAGAACCGACAAGGTAAGCTGAACCCATGCAATTCAGAATTTGTAGAGTCAAGTTACGTGGCAGTAGCTGATCGTACGTAACGGATGATGGCCAGTAGGAGGTTTTTGGTCCACCTTGGTTATAAAGTTGTCTCAAGTAGTGAAAGCTCGTTTCATCTGAAAGGGGGTCATAACAACAGACGCAAGGTGTGTAAGGCCATTTAGATGGAGTTTGAAGAAGTGACCGCGGAGCAACTTCATCATGACTGCCGTGCTTGTTTGCATTGGAGTGAAACGGGTGAGCAGTCATCCACTCATCCGGGTACCGGTGTGTCCGATTGATGGTTTTCATGCGAAGTCTCGCAGGCTTGAGCAGATACCTGTCAAACAACGGACGACATCTGGTTAAGTACGAGAGGACCTTCTCCAACAGGCTGACGTTTTGTTTTGCTAAACGAGATATCAATGGGCCAGGATACATAAGATCTTGCTAGAACATAGCACCGCAATCCAAGACCGTCTTAGTATTTTTTGACCTACATCAAACATTGAATGTGGAAATTTCGACGCCAATAAACCACTGCACCATATAGTCTAGAGTGAACGTTTTGCTGGAACGAGAGAGCCGCGGTGGGGTTTTCTGCTTCTCTACACGACTCGCACACAACGCACAACTAGGCAGTAGCGACCATTCAGTTCTAACATTTGGTTATGTGTGTTATTCCAGTATGGTTGACGGAATATGCGAAACCCAACTGTACTGACTATTCCAAGTTTCATAACCAGGCAACAACCGTCGACTGGGGACTACAGACTCACAGTTCGGTGAACGACGCATGGAATGAAATCGAAGATAACATTAACTGGGTCACACGAGCAGCCTCAAAAGTTGTACCACTAAGGGTATCGCGCCGGACCAACGGTTGAATCCGAAGCAGCACAAGTAAAGGGATCAAGAGATGAGACGAGATTTGGAGACAACCTATGCTAAACCCATGTGATACCACGTGGCAGAAGTACAAAACAATCAGAAACTACTGCAGGTCCCTCATTAGAGTCGAAAAGTACGCTTGGAAGGAGACCATGGTACACAAGTGTATGAGTAACACCAAACTGCTATGCAGGTATGTGAATGAAAAGAGAAAGGTTAAACCTGGAATACCACCACTCAAGACGGCCAGTGGAATAACGGCTACTGCTGTGGATACCGCGAACGTACTACTCCTACAGTTTGACGGTGGCTACAAATACCATGGAGCCATCGCCCAATCAACTCCAAACACATGTCATCGACTTATACAGTGCCACCTTTACCCCAGCGGTTGTCGTAAACAAATCACAGTCTCTCCGGGAAAACAGAGCCTCGGGAATTGACAAGATGTGCACAAATGTACTTAAAACTATTACCCTCACCAAAGCAGTAAATCTTGCATCCTTTTCTAGGATCTGCTTGACTCCTATAAACTACCTGAGTGGAAATGTGGAATCATCACTCGGTTGTGTAGAGAGCGTAAGCGAGCGGCTCCCGCCAACTACCTACCTATTACTCTCCTACCTGTTTTATCAAAACTGATGGCATCGATTATTGCAGATGAACTGACGCAATATTTTAAGTCTACAAATAAGTCCCAATGTCCAACATGCTTTCAGATGCGGAAGACCTTACCAATCTGCTTTTTGCTCAGGATTCATGAATCAGGGCAGCTGATGGGGGTATCCCCAAAGAGGTGGTTTACTTAAACTTTTATAGGGCCTTCGACAAGTTTAATCCCTTCGTGTTCCTCCACAGGCTTGCTTTCTACGGTATAAATGTATTCTGCTCACATGGCTGGAAGATTACCTACACGACAGAACAATCAAGACAGGAATAGTCGACACTCGCTCCGAAATCCTGTGCATCTACAGTAGTGTATCGCGAGGATCATTCCTCAATTCGCTACTGCTTTTAGTTTACATAAATGACCTCCTAGAAAACATTTTATCGCCGATGCAGATATTTGCAAACGACGCTAAAAGAAGGAGTGCAATTCGTTCAGCATCCGGTCTTGTTTATCTCCAGCATGGTCTGGACCGGATTAATGAATGGGCAGAAAGGAATTTGCTCCCACTGAATCCTGCAAAGTCCACCTGTTGACGGTGAGTAGCAGCTTCATCAACACATATCATCTGGGACAGCAGGTTCTACAAATGGGGATTGGTGAACGAGACTTAGGTATCCTCGGTTAAGAAAGTCTTGGTAGTTCGCTCTAGTGTTCGAAAGCAGCGAATATGGCGCACTTGAACTTGTGGCTTTGGAGGCGAGATCTCGGCACATTTGAGGGACGGCTAGTACCACTGTTGATTAACTCTTACGTTGTTCCCCAAGATGAATATGCGGTTCAGGCCTGAGGTCCATTGTTAAAAGGAGATATCGGTTTCTTGGAGCAGCCCCAAAGAAAAGCCATCAAGACAGCAGGTGAACTGTCCGGTCTCAGTCTTGAAATACGTCTTCTTTTACTCGGTGTGTTCTCGTCAGAATACCAACGGCTTCGCGAATCTCCGTCTCACCTACCGGATAGTAACTGAGAACGAGCACCCATGAACATCAGTGTTGACCATAGCGCGTTTACAAGCAATACCTACGTAACCACCTGAAACTAATGACGCAACACTCCCGTTTGAATTGGAAAAGGTACTTTTACTCACTTGAATCTGTTTCCACTGGAATGCATTACCAACACATGTGGTGAACACAGCCAGATATCGCGACACTTGAATGGCTAGTAGTATTGATGAACATTTCACAACACTGCGTTAAAGTTCGACGTTGAAACCTATTTGCTTTTGATTTTCCCTGGCATTTCCATTTTGTAGGTCTGGTACATTTACGCTTTGTATCAAATCATACACTATTGAATTAATACACAATCCAGCATAGAAATGGGATCAGACATTTAGCAATTAGGGATCATTAAGCAGTAACACAGTATGGATTGCATTTAAGGAAGAAATACTGGTTAGGCCCCTTACGTTCTTCCTAGCTTCACTGACTCAAAGCGACTAAGGCTTCTAATTTGAAATTTCAACGTTTTAGGTGGCAATCCTCGCTTCCGCAGCATCACGGCCAGCGTGCTGTTGTTTGCGGTTGCATTAGACTGATGAAGCAGTAAGGAGTATTAGTGCATTATGTTTTGCAAGACAACAGAGTGGAGGATATGTAATAGTGGTAACCTACGTAAACCGCTTTCAGCTACATGTCCACACACTTGACTTGCCAGGTCTGGCTACATTAGTGTAAAAGTTGGTCGCATATCTGTTTGTCTGGTGCCAAGGCCTAGAGCACCAGTATACTGGGTCCGACATTCATACTTGGGAAAGAACATGTGCCTGTAAGGCTACAACAGTCATCCCTTCACGGAACGGGCTACGGTTAATCGACGGCCACGGCCACATGCATATTCGGTTTACTTGTTTTCATAAATTTTGTTTCGGTGATAGGAGCTCTGAAGGAGTACAAATCGGCTGCGCATAAATAACGCCCCCACGGTGTATGTCTTTGAGAGTAATTGTCTTAGCTTTATAATAGGCAGGTTGCCTGAGGGTGAAGGCGATGTTAGTACTAGCATGGGTCAGCCTTCGCCCTTCTATATCCGAAATCATCCAGTAACTGCTTCCAGTCACAGTGATGTGCAACTAATTAAAAGTACGTTACCAAGTGCTACCAACATTACGAAGGGAGGATATATAAGACCTATTGCGTATAAACCTATCAGCAACACCACCAAGGTAGTGCCTCCACTCGACAGTTTAAATAAAACTACCTGACGGTCAGTCGTAAGGTATGTGGGAGTTTACGCAGATCGCCCATTAAATCGACTGAACCCGTTCATGGCTATCCATTCGTTATATCGTCAGATCTAATATATATTATATATATATATTGCTTTTCAAAACAAAGTAAACGTGGGAAATATAATGCGGAAAGGCTTACCCATCACAAGTGGGTTGTTGTTGTTGCATTGCTTCCCAAAAGTAAGCATTTTTCACTTGCCGTCTAACGCTTGGCAATTCATGATGCGGTGAGGAAGTATCCTTTCCTTTTCCCAAGCTTGGGACAACTCCCACTGGAACAAGTTGACATCCGACAGAGTGTAGGAGCTGAAACCATGGGTTTGTTAGTAGCTGTCATCTATGTGTCAGTTGAGAGCCAATAACGGTAGAAACATGTGCGACTTATTCTGTGGTAATGAAAAGGTCAATGACAATTGTTCAGAAGAATGAAACATGCTACCGACCAATGCTCCATCCAGCATACTAGAGGACGGCTCTCCCAAAATCTCGGCTGTTTCTTAAAGTGGTTACGGCATTCACATGGATGGGTTTTCCATATATATAAACCAGGTGCATGAGCGAAGTCAAAGTAGTAGTTGAGCAGAAGTTCCAAAGGATCCAGTCAACCTTATGAAAACTCGGATATTGCTCTTCAACTCACTTTACTCTTCTGCTACGCTTACTGAGTTTACTTAGCTGTAAGGCAGACCCTGGGTTAGTAACATCACTGGAACATTGGTAGGTTTGCAGCCCAGGTCTTAGTCGACAGCCCACCATAGTCCACAATATGTCAGCTTGGTGTTACCTGGCCTCATTGCTGACCACGTGCTAACTGAGGCGCTCTCAGGTTGGCTCGCTGGACAACCAGGTCTTATCAACTATTTCTTCACTATAGTGTAACCGTCGGTGCTTTGGTAGGTTGAACAACCAGGTCCTTTCAATGTGTTTTCGATTCTCCTTGACCTTCCATAATTCACTTCAGTTTTACCTGGCCTGCATGCTTACCACTCACAAGCGGTCACTGGTGCGTAAATAAACCAGACTCTCGAATCCCACGCAGTCTTTTCAACCTTTAATACGTCTTTTCCATGTATGAATACTTGCCATATATAACTATAAAGACGCTGTGCTTAGCATCATAGTGATCCTAATTCCGTCTATCATGCTAACAAGAAAACATCTTTAATCACCATCAAGCAAGTTATTGAAAGTGTGTCTCGGCAAATGTCGTAAAAGTTATTTGTGGAAACATGTTTTGACGAAGGTCAGCTCCTAAAACCGTTGGCCAAGCTTTTTCCATTTGCTGCTGAATACGACGCACACTATGTACGCAAGTCTAGAATACATTTCAGCATCGCTTAGAAAAGTTGGCTATTTTCAATTTCTAATTTTTCAGTTTCATTCTTTATGCACTTTTTGACGTATAATATCGCAACAATCATTATCCTCTTGCGGCTGTTGTTGGGGATGCGGTCCGTTACAAGGTTTCTCTGGCATGACATTCGTCAGCGTTCCATGTCATTAGAGAAAAAGCCTGGTTGATACTTCGTGGCAGACAAAACTAATTTTCGCGCCACATAAAGCGCATCACTTGCAGTGACAATTCTGGATGAAATCTGTAAAATAGTCTCATCAGTTTCACTGGACCGACCTGCTTTCCAGAACATGAGATTCACCATTGGAAACTCATAATTCTACTACTTCTATAACATCAGTAACTACACGAGTTGCATATAAAGGCTCTTCCATGTGACAGTGGTGTGTGAAGAGTGCTGTGTCACAAGAGAACGTCTTCATGTTAACCACTCATGATCCAGAGGTAAATGTGCCTGGACTGCATGCCACCTCGTCGTGAGTTCAACTCCCGAAGTGCTTGAGAGCAATACACACTGAACTTTGGAAGCAGAGCACCGGAGTTGAGCATGGAGTTCAAAACGACGGGTCACTACGAGAATACCGCCAAGTATGACTGCTGATATTACTCGTGGCACATGCTAATGGAGATGCAAGCATTCAATTCAGCGACGAAATTTCTTTTCGATAATTCTCATCTGGCAAATACAAACTGGTTAAAACATTGCAAAAGGCTATGTGAGCTAGGCTAGTGCTGGTTAAATTCAAACAGACTGGTTTAATCATCGACCCTGCTCTCCAACCAGCGACGATAGTCACGGACACGCACACACAAACATACGCCCACAAAAGCGACGGTTCGTCTGTCCGATAGGATGACACCGCAAACGGATTCGCCACCCGTGAACGAGGAGATCGGTGCCCACAGTGAAATTGTGGGCAGGGCAACAGAAGCGAGTGCATTAGTATCCTCTGCTTACATAGTTCAGGTTGCAAAAGCCTGATCGTAATGGCCTCGGCCGTTCTTGGTAGAAGTTTTAAATTCTTTTGTGTGATGGTTAGTCATAACACAGAAAACTTTGACAGCTTTCTTGGCCAAAACTTTATGACCACTTTGGCGCAAATGTTCTACAATGGAACTATTGATGCTCCTAGCCGAGCTTCCATAGCTTAATACAATGTCGCAACTAGTTTTATATGTGCACCCGACTGATTAAAATTGATGAAAAGATACTTCTTCTTTGAACTGCATGCTTAGCATCTTATTGTTTGGGTTTGAAGTATCCAATAGGTGTTCGGCTTACGACGTGCTATCACAACATGGATCTTGGCTATACAGCCCATCGGGGCTAACAAAAAGGTGGGTACGTTGGTGTTCGCCTCAAACACGGTACTAAAAGACTGGTTTTGCCATGGGTTGAACGCTCCAAGCGAAGCAGCGGAACAGTTGATGAGAGCAGGGTTGTAGAGCTAAACACTAGCACAGTCACCACTATGACACCAAGGTCCACCGAACATGTATGTCCTTCGGAATGTCCACTGCACTCACGGACGACCATACGTAGTCACAATTTGACAGTGGGCTTCTTTGATGTTAACGCTCACCAGTTCGACTGCTGTGACTGCAGTCATGCACGTTGCTCACCCTGATCAACGATGACTGAATGCGAAAGTTGGTAACACCCTGTCCGACCCTATAGAGGTTCATTGTGGCATTCCTCAAGGTTCCGTACTAGAAGCACGGTTATTTCTCCTGTTCATAAGTGAAACTGCGGTAGATTTGACGTTTAACTTTCCACTGGTTGCGGACAGCCTCAAGCTATGGCGGGCAATCAAACGAGTAGACGACCAAATAGCACTGCAAAGTGATCTCGACAGAGCTTACCGGTGGTGGACCCAGAACATGGTTGAGTTTTAGCCTATCAAGTACAAACTAATAAGCATATGCCAGCAGAGCACCTACCAATATCGACTGGGAGAACACGTCCTGCAGTGCGCTTCTGATGAAGATGATCTCAGAGTGCAGGACCGTCTCGGATGCTAAAAAGAAGCTGAAATGGCGGTGAGCAAAACCAGCCAACACTTGGGCCGACTGTGGAGGTCGTTTGGCCAGTTTGAGCCTACCTTTTTCCCGCAAATGCTCAACGCTTAGGTGAGATTACACATCGAATACGCCATTTAGGTGTGGTACCCCTGGCAAACTCAAGACCCCAGTGCTCTTGGTAAGCCGCAACGGAAGATGACCTCACAGAGAACGATGTTTGATTATTACAAATATTCAGGAATCTGACAAAGTGATTCCAGCTGAAAGAATCCTTGACGACCAGGCATTCCTCAAACAAATGGTATCCATTCTATTCGACAAAGGGGATCAAGACATCAACATCATCTCAGCCTTTCGCCTGGGTCGAAAGCAGAACATCCCACGAAGTTCCGCCCCCTTTAAAGTCGTCTGTCAAGACGAAGAATGCAGCCGCGTCCTCAGGCGCACTTCGCGCCTTAAGGGCGAAACATTCTTCGTCCTGAGAGACCTCTGTCCGGAAGATAGAGTTACAATGAACAAGCTGTCAATGAACTAGGCATGCGTAAAACCAGTGGTGAAACTGATCTCCATATTATGGGTTGTTGCGTAGTGAAAGGAATACCAAAAGCGCGCCGGCGGCCAATCTTTCTGCTACCAAGCCCGTTGGCGCAGAGGTCTGCGAGTAATACTTGCCAATGTGCGAAGTCTCAGGAACAAACTTGACGAGATTTCACTTCACATCTCCGAACACCATCCGGATCTATTGGCGCTTACAGAGACTTGGCTGTTCTCTGAGGTTTTGGACACAGAAATTAGCATACCGGGATATCAACTCTCACGAGCTGATCGTACTGATGGGAGGGCCGGAGGGGGAGTGCTTCTCTACTCGAAAGACTGCCTCAAACTTCACATCCTTGAGGCGTTCTCCAACAATAATATTGCCTCAGAAATGCTTCCGTGCCGGATACATGATGGCCACCAAACACTAACGATTGGAGTTGCTGGGTCAGGCTTTCGTCTCCTGGACTCAATCAAAACTAACGGCAGAGGCAGATACCGTCTGCTAATGGGTGATTTCAATGCACCCAGTATCAAGTGGAAACTTTTCCATTGTGACCTTCAAGATTCTTTCGAGAGGGGGCTTGTCGATGCTGTTCAGGTACTCAATCTAATTCAGCACATCTCTACTCCAACGCGGATGCTCCCGGGCCAGACGTCAAACATCCTTGATCTGTTTTTCACTCCGATGCCCAATGACGTCTGTGACTTGGAGACCCTCCAACCACGCGGCCGAAGCGACCACTCAGTAGTCTACTTCTTGTGGACACGACGTCTTACCCTCACGTACCGCGGAGCATATCGCCGTAAGTTTTGACGTACTGATCCATCCAGATTACACGCTGTGGCAACCTCGGAAGACTGGAGTATCCCACAGTCCCTGAGTGTCTAGGAGGCATAGAAACCTCTGCTGACCAAGATGACGTCCATCATCGAAATACCGTCCCGATTTACAAAGGCAGACCATTCTACAAAAGACCCCCTGGATCGACCGAGAACTGAGGTCCATACTGAACAGACGGTGTAAACTCTGAACCGTATTCAAGAGAACACAACTAGCCACGGATTCGCTAAAATACAAAGAGGTTCGAAATGTGTGCACGCTGAAAAAGTGGCAGAAGCGAGCTCAGTACGAGCAATACTGGCTGTTCAAACCCGAACGTGTTCAAGGATGCTTTTCTCATACATAAGGCGAAACACCAAAGCGGGCGTGGATATTCCTTCTCTATCTGCCCCTAGAGAAAGCAATTTACCACAGCACAATGATAAGAAAGCCAATCTAATACCTAAGCAGTACTCAGGTGTCTAGGCGCTAGATCCGCCGTTGCCCAAGAACAACGCGCCCACATGCTCCCCAACTCTGGGTTAAGTTGAAATTACTGTCGACATAGTC